AGCAATGTCACGGAAAAATGGAATGGTTTGGGTGGGAGGGACCTTAAAAGTCATCGTGTTCCACCCTCTGCCATGGGCAGGGACACCTTCCACTATTCCAGACTGCTCCAAGACCTGTCCAGCCTGGCCTGGGACTCTTCCAGGGATGGGGCAGCCACAGCTTCTCTGGCCACCCTGTCCCAGGGCCTCCCCACCTCACGGGGAAGAATTTCCTCCTTTTATCCAACCTAAATCAGCTTTTTTTTGTTTAAAACCATCACTCCTTGTCCCTCTGCAACAGCCCCTGCCACACATCGACTGGAATTGGACTCGATGATCCTTGGGATGTCCTGGAGAGGCACCTGGGGGTTGCAGGTGGAGCAGCACCAAACCTCAATCCCCCCCAGATGCTGCTCACGGCGTTAATGCCCAGCAGTTTTTCCCTGTCAGGAAAATTCCCAGCAGTTCTGCAGGAGCGGGGGTGGCTGGGCTCAGCTCGGTCTGAACAATGAAATAATTGGGATTATTTTAAGTACACGAGGTTTTATTCTTTTAAAGAGCGAGAGTAATTAACCACCAGAACGTAACAGCAGCATAGCTGGGAGGAGTGAATGCTCCAGGGAGGGGCTGGAGCCTCTCCAGGGAAACCTTCTGCCTTCACCTCACACGGAGCAGGACAAACCTCCTGCTACTCTGCAGGGGCCTGGAATGGGCTCTTCTGTCTGCAAACCTGCGAATCTCAACCCTCCCCGTTTCCAGGCGCTGATTATGTGGTGGATGGAAGCATTTTGAGGATGGCAACAGCAGTTCCTGGGATTTCCAGTGTGGCAGGAGGGAATCATGCTGGCGCTGGGAGATGATTCCAGTGGCAGAGGGGATGGGGAGGTTGCCCACACACCCAGTTCAGCTCCATTTCCCAGCCCTGCATGTGGCATCACCAAGCTCCTCACACCCAGGAGCCACAGTGACTGACCACAAAATCCCAGCGTGGTCTGGATGGGACCGGGATTCCCAATCCTTGCTCCACTCCCCGGTGAGTTGCTCTAACCCACGTTCCCCACATGCTCCGTTAATTAAAGCAGCTGGTAATTGGCTGCAAACACCTCTCCGTGGGCAGGGGCTCTCCAAGCCCTGCTGAAGCAGGATCTGTTCAGATCCACAGCAATCCCACAAGCCGTGGAAGTGCTTCCACAAAATCAGACCTAAAATCTCCTTTTCCTGCCAATTCCAGCCCACGGGTGTATGGAAGTTCCATCCCCCCCCCCAACAGGTATCCCTGGACATGAGCTTCAGCTCGTGACTTTGATCCAGCATTGTGAGAAGCAAACATGGGATTTGTAACATCCAAGACATCGTCTCCAATTTAATTTTTGGGCAGTTTCCCCCCCACCCCTCCCCTCCCACTGCAATCGCACATTCAGGAGCACAGAGCCCCTTTCATGTTTACTCATCCTTAGATTGCAAAAATTGTCGTGTGAATTCCTTCTCCAATTAGCTCTGGTACTCAAAAATAAAATATTGTTCCATTGCCAGCACAGTTCTGATCATTCCTGTCCTTTATACTTTTATTCCCCAGAGTCACTTGAAAAGCGGCCGCTCCTTCCTCCTCCCCTGCAAAGCCCCCTTGGAAAATTTTTAAAACAAAAAACAAGCAACGATTCTAAAGGAAAGGCTTTGGTGGCTGAAGTGCCACTTCCATTCACCTTTCCATGATGGAAGGGAAAAAAATAAAGATCAGAAGGAGGATTTAGACAAAAAGCCAACTAAGTAAAGGTAATTTCTGATACAGGAAAATCTGTTCGTTGTGTAGAGGCACTTTGTTGAGTGGAACAGAAGAGACATCAGAGACTCTGCAGAGGGTTTTCAAACATTCCCAGCTTCCTTCCCAATGTGCCACCCGATTCCACATCAACCCAGAGACACAGTTTGGAATGTCAGTGTCCATGGAATGAAGGTGAGGAAGAGCACCCAGCCCCTGCCCACAACGAGCCCCAGAGGGACACGGCCACAGGAGAATTGTGAGTGAGGCTGAAAATGTTTATGGCGAAATTCCAGGAGCCACCCAAAGTCACCCCAAAGTCCCCGGAGCCACCCAGTGAGTGTGTGAGCAATAAAGGGACAAAACTTGTGACAGCTCATCCCCTCACCCCTTGGCTCTGGGACCAAGAGCCCGGAACGTTCATGGGGACAATCCGTGACCCAGAGACTGCCCACGGAGATAATCCCAGGATAGTTTGGGTTGGAAGGACCTTAAAGCTCATCCAGTTCCAGGGCCATGGGCAGGGACACCTTCCACTAGACCAGGCTGTTCCAAACCCCATCTGGTTTAGCCTCTGTTAATGCCACCTAAAAAACCCCAAGGTTCACTTGGTACTGGAGGAATCCAGCGACAAAGAACTCCAAAATCCATGAATGGAGCGTCCTTTACCCATTCTATATTTTTCTCTTTTCCCTCCTTGGGGGGCTGGAGGGACTTGGATCATCTCTTCTCCCATACAGCGACCTGAAAAATCACACACAGCCTGCTGTCACACACAAAAACACCAAAAAAAGAACCCCAAAACCTAAAAAACCCCAACTTTAGACACAAGCCCTCATTAAAACCAGGGGACAGTGAGTGAGAGAGGATCTCTGTGTGCCAGCAGTGCTCCCTCCCCGGGCTGTGCCGCAGAGGTGATTTCGCACTCCACGGAGCGCGGCGCGAGGAGCCGCAGCGGCAAACAGGCTCTGGAATCAAAAGAGCTCCCTGGCACTCCACCGGCCCCACAGCTCCCATTCCAGGGAAGGAAATTTGCATCCAAAGCATCAAGAGCACTTTACCTCGAGTTTAAAATAAATTCCGAGCAGATCCATGCCGCCAGCTTGTGTTTGTGACTGGAATCCCAGCCAGCGGCAGCCGGAGCCTGTCCCCAGTGAGAGCTTGGGAAGAGGGGATGGCACCGAGCAGGGAACAGGGATGAGGGGAGAACAGCACAGCTGCAGCTGGTCCAGCACCACGGGCCACAGCAATTAGTGCTAATTGGGGTAACAGCCCCCTGAGCCTGAAAGGGAACAAGCACTTGGTTCACATCCTGTGGCAGCTCTCAGCACCGCGCGCAGACAGAGCTGGAAAACAGAACCGTGGAAATTTTTAGGTTGGAAAAGACCCCCAGGATCATGAGGTCCAACCATTCCCCCAGCACTGCCAAGGCCACCATTAAACCATGTCCCCAGGTGCCACAGCCAGGGGTTTTCTGAACACTTCCAGGGATGGTGACACCACCACTTCCCTGGGCAGCCTGTGCTGGGCTGGATCCCTTCCTTTGGGGAAGGAATTTTCCCTCACATCCAGTCTAACCGGACAGGGTGATGCTGTCCTGCCTGCACAGGGAATGCTCTCTCTTAGTTCATTAGCACTGCAGTTAATTTGGCCCAGGAAAGCCGGGGTGCCCCCAGGGTGCTGCTGTGCCAGGGCTGGCTGTTCGTGTCTGTGCTGGAGCTGGTGGCATCATTCCATCAAACCAGGGCATCCCAAAACCTTGTCAGGCCCAGAATCATAAAAATCTTTCCCAAACGTGTCTTGACAGAAACAGGTGGGACCTGGCTCAGGTGGAGCAGGGGCAAGACCCTCCCCTGCTGCTGAGAGAGACCCCCAGGAGCCACCCCAAAACTTGCTGCTCCCCCACGCCAGGAGAGACACAGCCCCCAAAGGGCTCTTCCAGCCCATCCCAGACAGCTGCTGGAGGATGCAGATTTGCTTTTCAAGGCACCAGGATTTATTTGCAGCTTCCCCAGGTGCCGGCAGTGCCCCGGCAGCTGCAAGCCTGGTCTGTGAGTGCCACCTACAGGGATCCCCTGTGCCCCAGCTCCTGGCGTGCCCCGACCCTGCTGCCCCCCAGAACCCCACCAGCGACGAGGAGAAATCGTGGAGCAAACAAAACCCTGTTCCCTCCTCCTCCAGGACGTGAGCAGCCAGGACACGGGCAGGGTGGCCAAGGGGGACAGGGGGAATGTGACTTGTGTTTTCTCAGTGCCACTGATCCACACAACCGGAATGAGAAGGATGAGAAGCAGATGTGAGAGTCAGGGAACGCCCTTGGCTTTGTTCTGGAACTAATTCCTTGCAGGGAGGAGCTGGGGCATTCCCATTTTAGCCTGGAGGAGACTCAGGGGGGACTCCCGAGGGGCAGCTTCGATCTCTGCTCTCTGGGACAAAGGGCAGGAGCTGAGGGAACGGCTGGAGCTGTGTTAGGGGAGGTTCAGGGTCAGATATTAGGAAGAGGATTTTCCCCCCGAGGGTGCTGGCACTGCCCAGGCTCCCCAGGGAATGGTCCCAGCCCTGAGGCTGCCAGAGCTCCAGGAGTGTTTGGACAGCGCTCTCAGGGATGCTCAGGGTGGGATTGTTAGGGTGTCTGTGCAGGGCTGGGAGTTGGACTCCATGCTTATGGATCCCTTCCAACTCAGGAGATTCCATGATTATATGATCCAGGGAACAGCCACTCCTTCCTCACTCCCAAATAAGCAAAATGGAATTTGGTTCTGCGGCCGTGGAGAGCCTGGAATTGGCCTCACAGGGACCTTATTTGGTCTTCTGTACAAGAGAAGGGATTAATGTGAGAAGAAGGAGAAAGGAGACTTCAGAAAACTGAAATCAATCCAGAGATGACTGAAGAGTCACGGAATAGTTTGAAAGGGACCTTAAAGCTCACCTCATTCCACCCCCTGCCATGGGCAGGGACAACTTCCATAGACCAGATTGCTCCGAGCTCAATCCAGGCTGGGCTTGGACACTTCCAGCTGGGTCACAAGGTGAGCAGCAGCCCTGAGAGCACAGTGTCACTGTCCTGTGAGCAGGAGCAAGGTGGGGAGAAACCCAAAGGACTCCATAAATCCGTGAGCCCACCACAGCAGCCTCACCCCGTGGGCTCGGCAGCCCCTGCACAGAGCAGGGAGGGATGGGTGGGCTGGAACGCTTTATTCCAGTGGTTCCAGGCACCAGGGAGGGGATGCTGCAATGACAAGAAAAGCATGGATCGATACAGGGCCAGGGGCTGTTTAAAACCAGATCAGCAGTTCCAGGAGGGTGAAACATGAGCTGCTCCTTGGGGAGTTCAGACAACAGCGTGCTCAAGTTTTATATATTTTATTGTTTATTGATTCCCACCACAGGCCCCTCTCCCAGCACTCCCAGTGCTGCAGGTCCCATCCCAGGCACAGAACAAAACCCACAGAGCTGATCTCACCCCGCTCCCATGGATCCCACGGATCCCATTAACCCTGCAGATGGCCCAGTCGGTTTGGGCAGGCCAGTAACAGCAGCAGAGCATCCCAGAAAGCCTCCAAGATAACAGAAGGATGATGTAAACTTTGGAAAATTGGCTTTGGCATAATTCAGAACAGACTGTTGTTGTCAGTCGTGACGCACGCTGGTGTTACGGGTCGTGGTCCGCTGGCTCCTTTTGGCTGGGATGAGCAGGAATCCTGCAGACCAACAGGCACGTGGAGCCTCCACCAACACCCTGATTCATCCAGGAGAAAGAAAAGTGCAGCAGTGGCTGGTGAGGCCTCAGCCTGCCCAGGGCCAGGCACAGGCAGGTCCATTTGCATTCCCGTGTTTAGCCTGAAAAACTAAAACTGGAAAGCTACTGGAAGATCCAACTGGTGCAAAAAGACCTAAAACAAAGGTATCAAATACATGTGGAGGAACTGAAAGAGTAATGGAAGGAACACCTGATCTGCTCCTCTGTGGAAATGTCGTGTGAGGTGTTCAAAGCTGCTGTTATTTGCAGGATCCAGCCCAAAAACACCTGGCCTGGCCTGGCCCTGCTCACACTGCAGGAAGTGACAGCTCCAGCTGATTCTTCCCAGAGAAATGGGATCATGCTGAGCACCCCAAGGAGTCTTAGATCTCTCACTTGGTTTTCTCCTCTTAGAAAAGGCCTCCAAGGACTCAGAGCAGAGCAGGGATGGAATGTCACAGCCTGCAAAGGGTAAATGCTGATGCCAGCTGCTGCCAAGGGGCAGGATGGAAGTGGAAACAGCTTCAGAGATTTCAGCTTCCCTGATCACAGCTCCAACCTGTCTCCAGGCCAAGACCAGGACAAGTGACAGCCCCACAAGTACCTTTGTACCCTGCACCCTTTAAAGGTCAGCAAGATTTAAAGGACTTTAAAGCCAGCAGGACTCTGAAAACATGGAAGTGGTGTAGAAATTCCAGGCTGGCACCTCAATTTCCTTCTCTGGTACCCACACAGCACAGCCCAGGCACCTCATGACCTGCTCCAGGCCTTTCCTGCTCAAACACAAACATCTGCTCCAGCCAAAATTAATTCCAGAATTATTTTCAGGGCAGGATCTACTGCTTGAGGTTCCCTCTGATGCGAATCATTTAACAAATGCTCCACTCCTGTGAGGTGAGGAAACTTGAGAATTGCAAACCCCACCTGTCCAACAAGAGGGGAGCCTGAGGAATGCTCAGGTTCACCACTCCAGGTAAAGGATGAGGAATGTGCTGGTCAAACACTGAGCATGGCAGTGGATTGGGACAGTCGGGCCCATCTGGCTTTAAGAGCACAGGGAACAACATTCCAGAGGGAATAGAAGAGCCAGGGAATTACCAGCACATGCAGCCCTGCAGGATCAGGAGAGATCCCTAGGGACCACAGAGCCCCCATCGTCCCCAGGGAAGCTGGGGTGGAGCCATCCCAGCAATTCCCACATGGAACCTCTGCAGCAGCTACAACAAGCAGGGAACACCCAAAATAGGTGTGAAACGATCCAATGGACAGGAAAACGGGGCACATCCAAGCACTGTGTGCGCACAGGCATCGTTATTAAAAATATATATGTATGTATTTTAAAATTCTTTGTGCACATGCAAGACAGAGCTGCCACGGAGGTGGGATCTCTCCAGGGAACCTCACTTGTCCTGAACAGACAAAGCACAGGATCACAGCACTCCTTCAGCTGCCTCGGGAGATCCTGCAGCAGCTGCCAGCCCCCAGCCTCTCCCTGATCAGCACGTCCCTGTCCCCTCTCATCGGTGCCCCTGATCCACAGGGGATTTGCAAGCCAAAGGAAAGGAGTCAAAGACATTCCAAAGACATTCTAAATATTCACCCTAAAGGTGCCACAGGGACCCTCCCTGCCCACAGGGCAAATCCCTCGGGTTCTCCAAACAAAGGCACTACCAGCTTGGGTGGGGAAATGGGATTTAAGGATGTGCTGCCAGTTTCCAAGAAAAGGCCATGGGCAGGAGCAATTGCGGAGCAGATTTCACTGGTTTAGCAGCAGATGCACCCAACAACAACCTCCTGACACATTCACCTTTGGTCCTACACAATCAGATCCCAAATATGCGCATAACAATGGGCTGCAGGAAAGATCCTGGCTGAGTACCAGCCAAGGGAATGAAACTCCGGGGTCCTTGAGAGGAGATAACCCAGCCAGGGCTGCCCTGAATCACAGTCCAGAGGGGCTGGGGTCCCCCTTTTCCAGTCATCAGCTGCTCCTGGCTCACACCTAGCTCTTCCTCAGGTATCACAAACTCCAGAGCTTGGCAGATGTCACACGTGTCCCTGGAGAACTCACCACAGGGGCTGGGCAGAGTCCAGGCATTCCCAGTCCTTTTGGTGGCTCTTTTAGAGAAATACTCCTTTGGGTTGTGGCCCCTTTCATTCGTAACCATGTCTGTAAACCCATGAATTACTTGGATTATCCCAGTAACTGCCAATCCTGCAAAATTTAACTCGTTTAACTCATTCCCAAAGCTGTTCTGTCTGAACTATCACCCTCCCACCCCCGTTTGAGAAAGACACCGAGAGGTCTCCCAACTCCTCCCAGGAGCAGATTACAGAGACACTTCCCAAAGAAGTAACCTGATACTGCAGGAAGGAAAGAGGATGAGCCTGGAAAAGGAATCTGATGCTTCCAGGGCAAAGAGGGAGGGATATGAAGCACAGGGGCAGCTCTCGGGCTCAGATTTCAGGTGCTGAAAATCATCCAGGAGCATCTCCCTTACCTCTCCCTTACCTATGCAGTGAAGAGCTCCCATCCTTCCCCAGAAATGTCCCCAAGAACGCACGTGAAGAAAACAGGTTTGGTCCCCTCTCCCCTGTCCCAGCTATGGAAGGGCTCCAACTGTTAATTAAGTCACTGTAAGCAGATATAAAACTTGAGCACTGGAGATTCCACTGGGACTGGATCCTCCATCATTCCAGACAGTGCTGCTGATCCCGAGTCATCTGAAAAAAAAAAAAAAAGGAGACACCCAAAATCAGGAGGAGCTGAGATGACATTCCTTGAGGGGACATTCCTCCTCAGCTTAAAAGAACCTGCCCAGAAATCGAGCTTGTGGGATGTAAACATAACGCTGGGAAAGCAGGAATGGATAGCCCTGTGAGACTGGGAGTTTGAACTGTCATGAGACTTGGAAGCAACTCCCAAAATTAAAAAAAAACAACAACAAAACAAAACAGGAATCTTGCTGGGAAAACAGGAATGCCTGTCCTGTTGGGACTGGGAGTTTGAATTGGAAGCAATTCCTAAGCTGAAGGGAAAAAAAAAAAAAAACGAGGAATTTTTGTTTTCCTAACACAGGGAGGCCCAGACTGGGCACAAGGGCTGTCTCTTCCAACAGCTCTGTGACCCCACAGCAGTGTCCAAATAACCCTGTCAGCGAGACTTTCCCGGGCCAGAAAATGAGGAAAAGTGAGATAAATCCGTGTGCCAACACAGAGACCACACACAGGCGTTTTAATTTATGCAGATCTGGTTGTAGGAGCTGTGCCAGAGCTCCCACGGCTTTGGGAAAGTCTCAGCCCCTTGTGAGGAAAAGAGCAACACATAAAACACACAAAATGCTTCCTCACCGCCTCAGGTTCCGGGTTTCAAACACGGTGTCCTCATCACTGTCGAGGGAGCCCAGCTCCATGTTCTCGTCCTGGCTCGAGAGCAGCCCATACTTCTTCCTCTGGGGTTTCTTCAACCTGAAATGAGTTTTGGGCTCATTTCTGGGGCCCTCGGACCTGGGGCTGAGGGACAGGGAGAGCACAGTGAGCCGCTGTCCCCACCCGGCGGTTCCGGAGATGGTTTAGCGCTAATTACCTCGGGTAATTAACAGTGCTGGGGATTTACAGCAGCGTTTTGGACTCGCTGCCAAAAGGATGCACGGGGAAGCAGAGCCCCGGCTGGCAGAGGGAGAGAGGGATGGGGATTGAGGGGAAAATGGGCACAAATCCAAGGATTGGGAGTGGGATTGGGACAGGTAAGGGGCAGGGGACACCGTGACCAGCTTCGGGGGGACCCAGAGCAAGACAGGGACTGGCCATAGGGGACAGGGACCAGGACAAACAGGGACACTGCCAAAAGCAAAGGTGGGACTGAGAACAGGACCAGGACAATCAGGGTGACATCCCCGACCAGGGTGAGCCAGGACAAGCAGGGTAGATCCCCGGGCCAGAGAACACTGGAACCGGGACAAGCTGGGACACAGCTCGGAACAACGGGAACGGGCTGGGAGCAGCAGGGACACAGCCCGGGGTCAGGGGATATCAGGATGGGGACAAGACCAGGAGCAGGACCAAGAGAACAGGGATACAGCCCCGCTCGGGTGGCCGTGTCCCCCCCGCACTCACCGGAACGCCCGCAGCACGAAGTAAAGCGCGGCCAGCGCCGACAGAGCGCTCAGCACATAAACCGCCCGCCTCAGCACCGGCAGCCCCGACCCCACCGACAGCCTCGGCCCGGACTCATGCTCCGACCCCGACTGAGTTTCGTTCCGTGTGGCCGCCCGCGGCGGCTCCGTGCTGTTCCCCGGGCTGGGGGCGGTGGCGCGGCCGAGGTGCGGGACGAGGAGGACGAGAAAGAGGAGGAGGAGGCGCGGCATGGCCGGGCCGGGGCGGCGGAGCGGGAGCGGCGGCTGCAGGAAGGCGCCGGGACGGTGCGCCCGGCTCAGGCACCGCCCGGGCCCCGCGGAGCCGCTCGCGGGTTCCGGGGCTGCGCCGTTCCGGGCCGGCCGTGACCCGCTCACGGAGCCGCCGCGGGGCTCCGACATTTTACCCTCAGGGTCATTGTTGTGCCCTCGCGGCTGCGGCCAGCTCGGCGGGGCCGCCATTTCTCCCTCACTGCAACGCCCCGTCCGTCACAGACGCCATTTTCCACTCAGGGTCATCCTTCCTCCCTCAGGGCCGCCATTGCCCCTTGAGGACTCTCATTCCTACCTCAGAGCCGCCATTTCCCCCCTCAGGGCTGTCCTTCCTCCCTCAAGGCCACCATTTCTCCATGAGGGTCATAATTTCTCCCTCAGTGTCGCTACTTTCCCCTCATAGCAGGACCTTCTCCCCCAGAGCCGCCATTTCCCCCTCAGGGCTCTCCCCCTCCCTTCAGGGAACGGCGCGGTGAGCACAGCTGGAAACAGGAGCACTTGGAGCATTTCCAGGATTTCTATCCTCCACTTTTTTCCTCTGCAGACATTTCCAGCTGACCAGGACTCAGTCACCGCCCTTCAGCCCTGCTCCATTTCCCCATTTTTCCTCAGGGAACGACTTAAGCTGTCTGGACACACAGGACTTAATTTTTTAAAAGGGCATTTTGGATAAAACTGGGTCATCCGAGCTCACGTCAGACCCGCGGCACCCAAACACTTTCTCGATGACGACACTGGGTTCCACATCCAGCCCCTGGATCCAGCGATTCCCTCACCCATCCCAGGAAGGTATCATTAACTCATTGCCATAATTAGCAATGCCAAAAATAACAGCACCTCCAACCAGGCTTTATTTTTGCACCTGTTCATTATTTCTGCCTGCGTCTAAGTATCCCATTTAGGGAGGTCTCACGAAGCATTATTTGTAAGTATTTTCAGCCTGAATTCATTTAAGCCTCACCTGACTGCATTCTTATCAGTGAAGACTTCACACACTCCTCAGCCTTCATTATATTTAATATCCTCCTGCATTAAGATGCAAAAATCCTCACTGGTGAATTGCTCAGTACAACCCCCAGAAGTGTGTCATGGCTGATTGCTTTTTTTAAATGCTGCTCACTTAGGTAATTTGAAAAAGGTTAAAGGAGGAAAAGTAGGTTCTGTGAAGTGAGCTCAATAATCCCCTCCTGCAGGCAGGAATGTCTGGAGACTCTTTATCAGTAGAAAATGGGGAACTGATGGCTCTTGGGCAAGTCCTCAGGGCTCCTGAGTAAGCCCATCACCAAATTCTGAGTTTATCAGTTAAAAAAAATGGGGAGAAAAGGGCAGGATGAAGCAATTGACTCTTCTTTAACAAAAAACAAACAAACAAACAAAAAAACCAAAAAACCAAAATAAAAAGACACAAAAAAAACCCCAAAAAACGGCAGGAACAGCTGAGATCATCAAAAACTCTCACTGCTCTCATCCTGCAATCTCCTGCCAGAAACACATTCAGAGTGTCAGCCTCTCCCAAGACAAATCCTCATTATTGAGCTGCCACATTTTTGGGATTTAACCAGCAACAAGACCTCATCTTCCATGAGGATCACATATCAATCTGCTTGAAGCAAAATGTGTCCACCTCCAAGCACCACAGTGGTGGTTTGTTCTGTACTCTTGAACTGCCCCAGACATATTTTTGCCAGAAATATTCTGTTTCCCACAAGAAGTACCACAGAGATTTGTTTTTTCCACATCTCAAGTGTTTTATTCTGGCTTGATTGACTCAGTTCATGTAAATACGAGTAACACCACTGCTCTGAGCTCTTCATCTCCCCACTCCGGTGTCTGTCCTTCTGTCTTCTCTGACGTGTCTCAGTGCTGAAATGAAATGGAGACAAGAGAATTGGAAAGTGGATAAAAATACAGGAATGGAACAGGGTTACTTGCACCACTTAGAGCTCCAGGTTACAGAACAGGGACACAGCAAAGAAAAAAAAGCTCAGGAAAGGGATGTTACCTGGTTGGCAAACTTGCTCCTGCATGCCTGGAACGCAGCTCTGGTCGCTCAGGATCCGCTGGGCCTCCGAGGCGTGTGCCGGGTCCTTTCAGCCTGCTAAAGCAGAGAGGCATTAACAGGAGCCCTGGGCAGAGGCTGCTCTCGCCCCCAACCTCCCCACACAGCTCACAGCGCACGAGGGTCTCACAAGCCATCGCTGAACCCATCACACCACAAAGCACAGTCTGGGAAAACTGTTCCGGGCCGGCTGCTGCCCGTGCTCAGCCAGCCCATGGATTGGATCCCCTAAGCAGAGAGTTAACACTTGGACATGGCTGCTTAGGAAGTGTGGGCCATGGGAAAAAGTTAATGGCAACAAGTAGGATGGCAAAGAAAGCTACAATTAAAGTGAGCAACTTAATGAAGTCTAGGAAGAGTCTCAATAGATGAACACATATCGAGTCAGGGAGTTCGTTCCAATCTTGCTTCCGTACCTACAGCAAGACACGGCTGCATGCCCAACTCTGATCTGTGGAACTCAAGGTGTGCCACAAGCCAAAGGTTGCATACGGCATGGGTTAAACGTTTTTCCAGCAGCTGACCAAAATTGTCAAAAGGAATATTTCACAGGTACATTAGACTTTCAAATGAGCTCTCAACAAGAGGAAGGATGCGGACATGAGCAAAAGGAGTTACCTCGAATTACAGGACTATTTCCACATATGAACTAGCCAAGAGAGCAGCTCTCGTCTCAGAGGTTTCTGTTGGAGGCACAACACTTCTTTTCTCCAAGGACACTGCAGTTTCCATTTGCTAGCAAAGAATTCTTAGAACTTGTAAGCAATGACACAGCTAAGCTAAGCCCGGCATTCCCCTACATCGCACACGCGCTCGGCACGCAGGGAACAGCCCAGGGACTACAGCACTTGGCTCTTCTCTACAGCTTCCCAGTGTAGGCTACAGCAGCTTTGGAGGAAACATCCATTATCCTTCCTAACATTCCAACTGCACTTCGCTCCTAGCACGCCCTCAGGTTTGTACGTCCAGCCTCTATAGACAAGTTTTGACTATTTTTAAGTGGAATTTGTTGGCCAATTCAGATGTCAAGACCGATTTTAGGATTTAAATTCCAGCGGCCGGGCAATCGTCCGGCTGGCTCTGCCACTGTCCCTAATCTCCTCTCGCTCCCAAGACTGTTCTTCGTCTCCAAGGGTTGTGTTGTGCAATGAAATGTAAATGTCAGGAGCAGAGTTCATTTCAGACGGTCTTTTAATAGGCTTCGTAAAGCCAAAGAAAACTGTATACAGGAATCCTTTACCACTTCAAATACAACAGCAATGGAATATGCATATGTCTTCCAGTAAAAAAGGACAATATAAATAAACATTTTCAAGAACCTCTTTATGGTAAGTTTGCAAGTCTAGTTCTGGGTCATTTACATCATTACAACAGTAAAAATACCGTTATGCGGGTTGAACATACAAGCACGTTTCTCTTTAGATATATCAAGGTGGTTTGCCTTCCAACGGAACCCAGGCTGCATTCCTACCTTGCTACACTAAAGGAATGTTACAAAAGACGAAGGTAATGCACTTGAGAAAAAAAAAAAAAGAAAAAGAAAAAAGTCCACAGCTTGTTCAGCTTCCAGTGAACATCGGTACAAGGTCCTTTCTAGCTCAAAAGAAACTGAATTGGGGCCCCAAGTTTAAAAAAAAAAAAAAAAAACAAAACCAGAAACGAACACCTTGGCTCATTCATGAGAGGACAAAATAAAATCTGAAGTGCTTTCAAAAAAGATTAAAACCACTTGAAAGCAGAGCTTTCTCCAAGACAGTCTAATCAGACAGTCTCGTCTCAGAAGCTGCCAGGCTGTGTATGACAAGATCAAAATTGATAATACTACAAAAGTGAAAATACAAGTAAGATGTACTACACAATAACCATTTCAGCGAAGCTCCAAAAATCTTTATAAATACAGCCATTGGAAGGACGATCTTGAGTCAGGAAGGATTTTTACTCGTTGTGTGTAGCTGAGGACAAGAAGCAGGCACAATTGTAAAGGCACTGAAGCAAAGACAAGTTCCAGCATTTTACTCCCTTTGCATTATTCCGAGGCTACGGCTACTTGGCTACTGAGATCCCCCACCCGCGGGTCAGTGCGTTAGGGCAGCCGAGTTTGGGCTCCAGGAACACCTTTTTCTTTTTTTTAAACACTTGCTTTGCCTTAGATCCGAGCAACTCCTGCACAACATGCATTAAACTTAGCATCTCCCGGCACCACCACGTCCACAGCCTGAGCCTGCCCCAGCTCCAGGCTCAGGCTCAGCAGGTTCAGAGCTCCTACAGCACACGGACTCAGCGCTCGCGGTCGAAGCGGGACTTACCGTAACTGTCATAGCTGTCTCTGTAGGAGCCTCCCGAGTTCCTGTCTCCATAGCCACCTTGACTCCTGCGGGACAAACAGCACCTCTTTTACAGCTGCTCAACTCCTTCTCTGCTGGTTTGAGCTCCACCACAGCTTGCCCACGGCCCCCAGCGCTGGCAGAGCCCTTACCTGCTATTATAGTAGTCTCTGGAGCCGTTATAGCCTCCGCTTCTGGAATCAAATCTGCTGCCGCCATAGCCTCTGTCTCCACCTCCTTGGAAATACATGGAAATGAGTTTTATTTAACCATTCTGACAACTGACCTCCCCCCATCCAGGCATTATGGTTGACCCCCATGCACTCACCTCTGGAGAAGCCACGGCCCCGGCCTCGGCCCCCGCGGAAGAAGCCCCGGCCCCCTGAGGAACCCCCTCTGTAGCCACGGGATCTGTTCTCAGAGGATTTCCCAGCCTGGTCGACTCGGATCTGACGCCCATCTACAGACTAAAACACAACCACAGTTAGCCAAATGGAAATATTTAAATAGCAAAGCACATGTAGAACGAGTTGCACGCCTTCACCGTTGGCTGAGCAGTGCCAGGACTTACTGCTCCTCATGAAAAAATGTGTATTTCACACCA